GAGAGAAAATGTATATTTTAAAAAAGAGAGAAACCGCAAACGTTTTTGGTTATAATGTGGATTTGTTTTAGTATATATATTGTATCTTATTCTTCATATTTCTGCTACACGTGTCTCCGGTCTCGTGACCTCCTTCACGCAAATAAAAGGAATAAATTTGTAAAAGGAATAAATTTTCCTTATGTTCTTTTAATGTCTAATTGTTCGTTTTCTGTATTTGTTAGTGAACCATGAACTCTTTTCTGGACTGTTAGCAGTGTATCTGTTCTTGCCAGTGTATGTATATATATTTTTGTTCTCCATGGATACCTGTTTACGCTTGCGTATGTGTATGTATGTGTTCGGTCCGACCAGTGTATCTGGCCATGATGTGTGCATGCTGTGTGCCCATTTGTGTGGGGTTATGATCTTTTCAGTGCTGGTTTAATTTGTCTATGAAGTTTTTTCTTGAATTTATAAGAAAAAGTAGTTGTTTTAAATTTGCCTTGGTTGCATTTGTAGATGTGTTGCGATACAAAGAGTTTTCTGTTGTCGGGTAATTTGATGTTGCTTTTGTGAAGGGAAACTCTGGGCCTGGCTGATGCCTATATATGATTTCTTGCATTTTGTGCATTTGAGTGCATAGATCACATTTTTAGAGTTGCTGTTTAAATTTTTATTTATTGTGAATGTAGTTTTGGGGTTTTCAAAAGTGTAGGCGTTCCCTTCTATAATGACATCACAAACCCCACATCTTTTTTGTTGCATTTTATGACCCCTGTATATTGTGTTGGTTAAATTTGGATGAGGGTAATATATGTTTCAGGTTTTTGATTGGCGTTTGCTTTTAATCATTTTGGTTGTTTTCAGTATACTTTTCATTTTCTCATTCTTGTTAAGTAAGTCTAGATTTATTGTAATTTCTGTAATTAGTTCTGGATTGGTCTTCATGTATGCTGAGACATATGATATGGTTTGTTCGACGTTACGTTTGTTTTTTTTTATTTCATAGTTGTCTAGAGGTGTTTTTCTGCTAGTTCAAAAGTGTTATTGTTTAGAATCAGATCTATACTATCGATAATGAATTCTTTGGTAAATCTGGGATGCAGTGTTTCTCGATGTTTTTCAATTCAGAATGAGATTGCCTGTTTACCTAATTCATGGGGTATGTTGCTATATAGGCTACTGACGTCAAAAGTTACCATAAGTATTCCCGGATCAACTTTTTGTGGAGCTAAGGAAGTGAATATTGTCTTTGATGTAGCTTTTAATCAGCTTACTAAATAGTTGTATTATTGTGTCTATTAGGTTATTGAGTCTGCTAGCAGCACAGGCTGGTCCTGCTACTATGGGTCTGAATGTATTGTCACTGGGGTTTGGGATGTTAAACTTTGTAATTTTTTATATAATATTTTTGTTTGTGTCGATTAATTTGTAGTTGTTCTTATCCTCTAGTGCTTCTAGAATTTTTGTTTTATAGCATATTTTGTCCATGATCACTATAGCGCTGCCTTTATCTGCTTCCTTCATAATTATGTTGTTATTTTTACGGATGCTCTCTAAGTCTTGTCTTTGTGTGTAAGGTTGTTAAATGGTTTGGATTTTTTTGTAGCTCGAGGTTCCAGAGTTTTTTAAAAAATATGTTTAGCTCATTTGTCTTATTATTGAATTGGGAAGAAATTGGATTTTAGTAATGATTCATCAATAATGTTTTCGTTATTATTAAATGTTTCTTTTCGTCTGAGTTTGCGTTCAAATTTTCTAAGGTCTTTTTTAGGTCTGTTATATTGCTTTTCGGAGCAGGACAAAATTTTAGGCCTAATTTTAATTGGTTGATTTCGTCCTTTGTAAGTGTATACGTAGATAGGTTTATTATTTTATGTTTTGTGTAACCTAAACTGACCTTCTGGGCCCTCTATAAATAATGATTGTTTCTTTCCACATATTTCAGGTTTTCCAAGAGATAACCTCTCCTATATATTTTAGGATTTCTAGCCAGTGAGAATTTCTCTTGGTAAAATTGGTTTTATTGTTTCTAGATGGCTCTGTTGTTACTATAAGGGGTGTTCCAGATGTTTCTGGATTTGTTGTTTCTGCATGTATTGTATGCGGAGATTTTAGGGGAATTTTGATCGTGTTCCTTGATATAGATAGTGGTCGTTAGGTTTGGTTTGTTGTACTAGGTGGTATTTTGTAAGTGTTGGCGTTGTGAATGTGCGTGTATTCTGACCGATGTTTGTTTGTGTTATGATGTGATGGTATGTTGTAAAGGTTTTTGTGTGCTGTTAAATATATTTTCGTAATTGTATTTGTTGTGTGGGAGTGTTTGTGTGTGATAGTATGTATTAGGGTTCTTACCTCTGTTGTATGGTTTTCTCTGTATTTGCTGATGTCGCATGTAGTTGGTTTGTGTTGTGTATTGTGTTTTATTTGATTTTGGATCGTGTTTTTTAGTTCTGTTTAGTTTAGTAATTTATTCCTTTTAAAAATTTATTGCTTTTATTTGCCTGAAGAATGTCACTTGACCGGAAACTGGTGTAGCAGAAACGAAGAATAAATAATATATATATTAAAACAAAGAATAAATAATATATATATTATTTTAATTTTAGCATATCATAACTTGCATTGCAAGTTTTTTGACTTATTTTCAGAGGGGTAGTTTAATATCAGTTAATCATGCCAGCTTTTGTATTTATGATTGAAGTAGACGTCTGTAATAGGTTTTTCAACACATCCTACTACTAAACACTGCTTGTCACAGCTGACTAGTTTCAAGAATGCAGTCGCGACCTGAAAACAACTTTGAAATCTACGATGAAATAAAGTTTTGTGTTGAAATAGATGGACATTAAAACTGTCCCTCGACCCTTTCTAGAGTTCAGATCTTGCTCCCCATGACTTTTGGTTGTTCCCCAAACTGAAGCACAATTCCAGGTTTAGTCGTTTTGAAGATATTGGAAAGATGACGGAGGCTGTGTTGAAGGTCTTGGTTGCCTTCTCAGTCGAGACATAGCTCTCCGTGATATTTAGCTGTTTCCAAGGCTAAGGTGAACATTTAGGGGCAGTCGTTTTGAAGACATTGAGAAGGCAGTCACAAGTGTCCTAGTCACCTTCTCTGTCTAGAAATTGATCTCCATGACTTTTAGTTGTTCCCAAGTTTCAAGGTGAACGTTAGGAGCAATCGTTTTGAAGACATTGAGAAGACGAAGGAGTCAGTGACAAGTGTTCTGGTTACCTTCTGTGTCTAGACCTTGGTCTCCGTGACTTTTGGTTGTTCCCCTGGCTCAAGGAGTACCTCATTTGTAGTCGATTTGAAGACATTGAGAAGATGAAAGAGGTTGTGTTGAAGGTCCTGGTTGTCTTCTCAGTCCAGGCCTTGCTCCCCGTGACTTTTAGTTGTTCCCAAGTCTCAAGAGGAACGACAAGAGCATTCGTTTTGAAGACATTGAGAATACGATGGATGCTGTGACAAGAGTGATGGTTGCTTTCTCGGTCCAGATCTTGTTGCCCTTAACTTTTGGTTGGTTCCCAAGTTGAAGGAGAACCTAAAGGGCAGTTGTCTTGAAGACGTTGACAAGATGAAGGATGCTGTCACGAGGGTCCTGGACACCTTCACTTTAGATGACTTCCATAAGGCCTTCACGAAATAGCTCGAGCGCTATAACAAATGCACTGAAATCAGAGGAACCGTCTTTGAATGAGGTTTGAGTTTTGTATTTCTGCGAAATTAATGTCTCTTCTGACAAAATTTCAAAACTTCTGGAATATATTTGCGTCTATCTCTGTGTGTGTGCGCGCACGCATGAATGCGGAATTCAAAAATGTTCTTGATATTAATCACTTAACCAAATTACAAAACATCAGAATTATATAGGACCAGGTTTTCATCAGACCGATCAATTTTCAGTAACATCTCGTAATATATATATATATATATATATATATATATATATATATATATATATATATATATATATATTAGTTCATATACTTGTACCTACGTTTTGGTGTAAGTTTTTGTGACTATGCACACCAGTACACGCTTGCTTATATTTGGCCGTTTCATTTATCTACCATACATGAAATGGAATATGTTCGGCAATTATTTTAATATATTTTCTGTTTTACGCTATTTTTATACATACAAATATTTAAGCTAATGCTTTGTTTATAATAAACAATATTACATGCATTTACCGGCCCGAATGTCCTGGAAATTACATAGAAAATCTGTGTTCTCCAACAGGAATCGAACCTGTAGCCTACACGAAACATTTACCGACTTGAATATCCGAGAAATTTAATTGAAAATATGTGTCCTCCGACAGGAATCGAACCTACACGGAAACGTCATATAGCCTGACGTGCCTTCTCATTTAGCTACAGAGGAAGCATCTGACTAGCAAAGTCAAATCTGTTGCTTAAAAACAGTAATTTGACTTTGTTACGAGACGTGTCAACCGCAAACTGATGGAAAAGCTCCCTGCATCTATGAAGCAGGTTGAAGTTTCCATCCCTAACCATGAAACGGTATCAGTAGAAAGCCTTGCACGATAAGGCTTTGGAAGACATTGTAGGTTGGCCACACGGATTATGAAGGGGAATGCCGAATTGGTAGCCATCGTCGCCATAAGGGAAAAGTAAAGGGTACTGCAATGCGTCATATGATCGATGGGTCTCTGAAATCCTGCGAAGAGCCCCGCCTTTTGATTTGAGGACAATATCGCGAGTGCGGTCTTGCTCCCCATGTATAATAGCGGCCACTTCGTTGCACGCAGGAGCATTTTATCGGAGTTTGTGTTCATCATGAAGCCATTTGTCGACGTCTATTACAATGCTGAAGGAAGGAAAGGGAGCATTTTCCAAAGCATATTTGAAACTGCGAATGTAGCTGTTAAACTCGTGAAGCATGACCTGAAGTAGTAGTATGAATTCCCTGCGAGGAACTCTTCCCGATAGCGGCAAAATACCAATCTGCCTGTAGGTTGTAGTCTGCAATAAAGTACAGTTGAAGGAATTTAGGCGTAGAGGTTTCCAATGCGGTGGTATACCTGCCCCTGTACTTTGAAAGTGGGCATCCAACTCTCTTCTCGAACCACCTGAGCCCCAAATGAAGTCATTTGAAAGTTGTTGTTGTATTGCTTAATTGTTTTAAGGAAGTGGTTGGAATCGGGATGGGAGCCAGCTATTAGTCCCCTCAGCGGGGTTGGTGGTTCATGCAGAGGTGGCAGTCTAACTTTGCCGGAGGAACAGCAGAGACCGGCAGGCTCCCCGGCCCATTTGCAGGCGTTGCAGAATTGGCAAACGCAGGTCATGGATCCTATATTGATGTCATCACGCGTAATTAAGTTAATGCCGGGGTCGTAAATGAAAGCCAAGAAAAACCAAAAAGAGCTACTGGGACAGGTAACAGCACGCAATGTTTGTAGCAGCCCTTGAATGTCTGTTTGCCTTTGTCTGTGGGCCCTCGGAGTTTCTAGCAGCAGAAGTCGCTGCAGCATTGCGGGACTGCGGGTTGCCCGCTGCAGCTCTGTCTCGGACTCCCTCGACTTAGCTGTTGCAGCAGCGTCCCTGGATTGACGGGCGCGTCTGTGGTCAAATATTTCAGCTGCCCTCGACCTGGCATTGGTGGCAGCATTTCTGGCATTTCGAACAGACCTAAGGAGGAGAGTCTCAGCAGCCCTAGCGGTCGCTGTTGCAGCAGTGTCCCTGGATTGACGGGTGTGCCTGCGGTCAAGTATCTCTATTGCCCTTGATTTCGCAGTGGCAGCAGCGTTTCTTACGTTACGAAGAAGCCTTTGATGATGAATCTCGGAAGCCCGAGATGCAGAGGCGGCTCTGCAGCCTGTGCGTTCATTCTCTACCGTTATGCATTCTTGAGCCTTGATCGCAACGAAGCCCTGTGGGCAGCTTTCCCAGCCAAGCAGGTGGCACGCTCCTCTTGTGACTACGAGGCCTGCGTGAGGGCGCTGCGTTGAGTGACCTGTGATAGTCGCATTGTAGTTTGCTCCTGGGACTCGCGAGCTACTTTTTGCCCTCATAGCGGACGCTCTTGCAGACCGAATGCTAAGACGTACCCTCCTTTTTGTGATGCTAGTAGTGGTTAATTAGGGTTGCTCAATTGCAGGAGTACAAAGTCTAACTTAGTATCGCAAAGCGTCAGCCAGAATCGGGAAGGCAGGTTTTTAAGTAAAACAGCTTAATAAATTGTTTATTGTAGTTGGAAAAAATGTAGTTAAACAGACAACCGGAAAACAAAAACGTAAGGAACAACTTGCGGTAGGAGAAATGATCAGTTGAAGGGGCCTATCGTATCAACCGGATGGCAGCGTAACAGGAGTAGAAGTGAGACCTTCGTCCCACAGTTGTGCACAGCAGGTTCAAATGCGAAGTATTACTGGCCAATCGGTTGTGTCAATCAGCGAGCGTCCTAGGGTCTCGAACACCAATCAGCGACCGCGTGCTGCACTCAGCCAATGAGATACCGCTATGTGAAGCATGGTCACGTGTGTGTGAATTACAATCAGCTGTAGAGTCTGTAGTGTAAACGTCTCAGATGAACATACGTTTGATTGGTGTATTCGCAAATTCCGATGAAGACATGATTGTATCGGCTTCCCTCAGGTATTAGTTGGTCACAAAGGAGCTCACAGTTTTTGTAACGACTAAAGCCGATAAAGTTAATCAAAATCCCAAGCAAGTTGCGAAAAACATCGCCAAATTCAGGTAAATTCGATTTGAATGGGAAGTCAAAAGGGGTATGATTTCATCGATTTTTATCCGATAATTGAAACCGATATTGAAAACGAAAGTTAGCACCTCAATACTGTCGGTAAATACTATGCTCAACGGGAATTTTGCTGAAAATTCTTCACCATTTACGAAAAATATAGCCAAAAATCATCTAGTCTGGACTTGAATCGAATGCCCCAAAGTGATCGATTGTATCGATTTTTTCCAGTAATTGATATCGATATTGAAAATGAATGTCAGCACCTCATAACCGTTGATAAAAACAATGCTCAACGTAATTTTGGTGGAAATTCTTCGCCATTTGCGAAAAATCTAGCCAAAAATCAGCTTGACTGGATTTGAATTGGAAGTCAAAAGTAGGATGATGTCATCGATTTTTTCCGATAATTGATACCGATATTGAAGAAAAAGGTCAGCAACTAATAACTCTTGATAAAACTAATGCTCAACAAGATTTTCGTGAAAATTTCTTGCAGTTTGCGAAAAACAGAGCCAAAAATCAGCTACATTGGATTTGAATCGGATGTCCCAAAGTGATCGATTTTTTCCGATAACTGATATCATTTTTTAAAAACAAAGAACAGAACCTCAAAAGTATAAGTTAGGACGTTGCTCAACGTGAGTTTGGTGGATATCACTTGTAATTTGTGAAAACTATCACTGAAAAACTGATGAATTTTTTTCGATTGAATATTCGACTCCCTATCGGTTTTATCGATTTTTTCCAAAATTTTCGAAAAATCCGAAGATATCAAGTACGAATGCCGTAAATTTCCGATCAGTTTGTGAATTTTCATGCCAATCGTACGAACGGTTTGCTCTTGATGAGTTAACAAGATGACAAACACACAGACACACTAACAGAGTGCCATTTATAGATAGAGATATATATAGAATTAATACAAATATAATATTTTTATGTATATATATAAATAAATACAAATGTAATACATATATATATATATATATATATATATATATGTGTGTGTGTGTGTGTGTGTGTGTGTATATATATGTATGTATGTATGTATATATTACCTACCACCCTTTAGTCGTCATTCAGTACTGCAAAATTCAGTCATAAAGTTTATAAGTTTTGTAAATGGAACCTTTTATTTGCGCTTATAAAAATGACTCTGCTAGATTAAATTCTTTATTATTATTTTTTTCTTTTTATTACCTCCTTTGTCCGAGACTAAAAGTTATTTCCTGCAAGAAAGAATCACCTGAAATTCAAGGAAAGTGTTTGTCAAATGCCTGTGACCAAATCGATTAGAGCTAAATATATAAATGTATTTTTAATGTCACCTTGTTGTTAATTTCCGGTCACATTTCTAGCATTACACTGATAGATTTTATAAGAAAATAAAGTTGAATAAGTCTCCGCAGAGATACGGAATCACAGTCTACTGTAATTTGCACATTGTAAAATCATTTCTAAAATGAGAGTGACATTGTAGACTCAACTTTGGCTGAATCAACAAAAAATATTGAATGAAAGCACGGAACACACGACGGCTGGATAATAAGTTACACCAAAGCTATTGTTTGTTTCCCAAGTGTCAATAAAGGGAAAACCTAGAAATAGATCAAATCTAACCATACAGTGTTAGACATATTTGGGAAGTAATGTGCTTTTAAATTGTAAAGTTGGGCGTTAATCATTAAGAATAAAATAATTTTTGTTGGAAGCAAAGTTTGAGAATTCGACTTCAAATTTGGAATTATTTTAGTCGTCTCACAGTGCCATAATTTCTTTTCTCTCTTTCTTCACTTGTCCTATTTTTTTCCCTCTCTTTTACTTTCATAATCAAATACAAACATATTTGAGCTGAATCAGTAAAAACTGAGAATGTTTTTGATAAGAGACACATTCGAATGTGGGATCAATTCATTTAGCCCTTAAGATGAGGCCGATAATGACATGACGTTATCATCTTTATATGTGAATGAAATTAGCGAAACAATAAATGGCCACTGAAAAAAGAAGTAGAAAAAAATGAAACTGAAAAACTACTAACGCTGTCCAGGCTTTTGTATTACAAATGAGACCATGCAGAGAACATATGGAAAATACAATTACTAACACTCTCACTACAAAAATTGCATTCGCTGCGTGACTGTTACGTAAATAAATGGCATCTTCATTGAAATAAAAATGCTGTTATTGTTTATATCTGTGTCTGATTTATTTCTCTAACGACGAACAGAAAAGAAATTCATATTAACTTGACATGATTATTAGTTGCAACAACACAAAACAATGATTTTTTTCCCAAATTCTGTCTTACGAATAATGTCTTGCAAAATCCCTTGAAAATGCACAGATTTCTCCTACACGTGATATATGTACATCGCAGTGAATTTTTAAAATACCAGATCAGCATTAATCCATTAGCTATTTTTTAGTCGAATATCATAAAAGACAGGAATTACGAAACACGTCTAAACTAAGGGAAACGAAAATATTTCGCGATAGAAAGTGATTACAGGCGAGAAGATAGGAGAGAGAGAAAACAAAAAATCCAAACAGTTAAGTTTAAAAAAAAAAAAAAAAAAAAGAAAGAAATCATAAAAATAACCCCATGCTCTTTTCAACTTGGTTATTAATGATTGTTGCTATTGGAAACTTTTTCTTCTGATCCTTTCTCTTTTGCTGTGAGGTGACACCATACTTGATAAAAAGTAAAACAACAGTAATGAAACATCAGTTTCCACTAAACTCGTTCGTCATTTTTCTTCTTTATTGTCAGTCGTCGGCCGAGACGATATAAATTTCTTGGCGATTTTTGTTTTCTCTTCTGCAAAATGTCTATGTGACCATGTTACCTAGAAGTATTTCCTTCGCTCACTGAAACTTGTACTACGGGATTCATAACTAGAATAAAACATCCCTGTGTCTACGGATTTCCAAAGGTTCCCTAGTGTCGAAGAGTTTCCTGATTTTTGATTGAACAAATATTAGAAAAGAAAATAAAGATGAAAATAGTTATGAAAATAAACAACAACAATCAAAAGGTGGATGATTTATGTAAAATAACTCAATTTTGAAAATGTCAAAAATTTTTCCTTCGCAATTTCTCTTCGATAAAAAAGAACAAAGTATTTTTTGGTGGTGGGGGTGTCCAATAAACAATTTCGAAACTTTTTGTGTAAACGAATATGAAATCTATAGATAACAACAGATCATTTGTTTTAATGTCCTATAAAAATGTCTGCCAAAAAGGAAAAAATCAAAAACAAAATGTCTAACAAACATATCAGGATTAACGGCCAATATCTAAAATGTAACGAAGGAAAATATTTTTTTTTCTAAATATTGATGTCAGTAATTTTAATTTTAAATCTTCATGTTTATTTTGGTTGAGCTAATAATTTATTTTCCTTTCGGATAAACACTTCTTATCCCTCGCTACACAAACAAGCAAATGTCATCACGTGGCTATTTATTCCTTTCGTGTAAAGACTTTCTGAAAGAATACATTATTTTTTAATACAGAAAGTTTAGGAAATTTAATTAAAATTCCAAACAACTCGAGATTAATATTAATCATAAAAACAATAATAATAATGTGTCGCCATAAGATAATGACATTACCTGTTGTTGTCGGGGTTTAGGGAATTATATCAACAAATATATCGATGAAATTCATGGTAGCCCTAAAATATGTGAATTGCAAAAGATCGTGATCATGGCTATTTTTCACACCTTGCGTCTATTTCTTTCTATTCAGTGACCACAATTATTATTTTTTTCTTTTTGATTTCATGACGTCAAGTCTGTTTTCCTCTTCTGATACAAAAACCTTTTCTCTTCAAGTCTATGATTGAGACTTGGGGAAAACTCGTACTACACAAAGCAAATAATAATAATAATAAATGCCCTGATACTACATCAGGTATGGATCTCATGGCTTATCTTAATTGATTAAGATGTTATCATGTACATATTTTTTTTGGAACAATCAAGAACTGCATGAACAAATATTTCTTTAACATTTCTGGTGATCCTGCGTGAAATCCCCAAAACTACTTACCAGTACTGCGCGGATATTACGAAGGATATTATCAATGGAATTTTCCAGTCGTATGGTTAAGATAAAGAATATGTTCATCTCTTCAACCTTCTTTTGCCGTAATGACCTGGCAATAGATTCTGTCATCCGGAAAACCAAACAGAATTGGTAATAATAATAATAATAATAATAATAATAATAATAATGTGGCACATGGGTACATCAACAATCCTTGTAGTAGTTGGAGCCCTAGGATTGGTTGGAAAAGATTC